TGCCCCACAATGTCCAGTAATGTCCCACAATGTCCCATAATGCCCCGTAATTTCATCTAATGCCCCACAATGTCATCTAATGCCCCACAATGTCCAGTAATGTCCCACAATGTCCCATAATGCCCCACAATGTCCCATAATGCCCCACAATGCCCTTTAATGTCACATAATGCCCCACAATGTCCCACAATGTCCCGTAATGCCCCACAATGTCCCACAATGTCCCACAATGTCCCGTAATGTTACATAATGCTCTTTCTCAGAGGGAATATTCACAGTCTGTAATGCTTCAGACGAGCCCTATCCAGAAGCTTCTATGGTGTAACTAACACAGTGGGATCGAAACCAAAATTCTGAGTTCATACAAGCTTTGGAAGCTCAGTATACTAAATCAATACTGTGAAACATTCCTGCTTAAGTATTACATTGCTTTGAAATAAATGGGCCTATTTATGAATGTAACCAACAGCAATAGCCTATTATATAGCTTTAACATTATCAGTGAAATACGCGTAAGTTAATTAAACTCCATCCAGTGCATAGATTGTGATATTAGTTTGGCTTCGGCTGCTGCAAACCCCCTGGACGATCCCCGTCATGTCAGGCTCATGTTGGTCTCTCTGCTGTCCGTCACTTAGCCTGACCTGCTTTTCATCACCATGGAAACAACGTGAAGTCACACGAAACATAACAACGCTACGTCACATCACTGTCATGTGTCTTATGTCAGTCATCACGCACACCCGCCGTCTTTACACTCCGTATGTAAGTCCGGCTGAGCGAGAGACAGACACTCCGCCAGGTTAGATGTGCTGCCCGCTCCAAGCAGCGCTTGCTTACAGGGGCTGTCGGCTCTGCCTTCACCCTCATGGTGTGTCACCCAGAAGCAGGCACTACGGTCAGCTTCCATGTCGGTAGTTTCTCCACGCAATGAGTGCGGTGCCACTGTGATCACGTCTGCTGCACTGTGTATATCGAAATGTGCAAAATGTTAGTCATACCAATATAATTATGGCAATGCGGTCTTGATTCTGGAACATGGAATGTCGTTATTCCACAGTAGCCAGTAACCTCCTAATGCAGTTGGTAGGAACTGGTAGGAAAGGATGATAGGACTGATCCCTGAATTCTGTGTCTGTGTTTGTGCCCGTCCAGCTTCGTGCCGTGCTCAGAGAAGATCCACTGCGCTGTGACTGAAATGGCCTCCCTTTTCCCCAAGGTAATGGCTGCCGTCTAGCCGTGTCCTTTGTCCTGCTGCCCTGGTCCTCCCAGCTCTTATTCCCAGCCTGCCCTCCACAGTTGTGGTATGTCTGACCTCTGACCTCCCTGGCAGCGGCCGGCGCTGGATGCGGTGCGCTGCTCCCTGCGCCTCCTGGCCGCCAGTGCGGCCCGCCTGCAGGGGGAGTGCCGGAAGGCGGCACCAGCCGAATCGTCAGCGGCCCCCACCGGCCCGCCTGTCGACTACCAGCTCCTCACCCAGCAAGTCATCCAGTGCGCCTATGATATCGCCAAGGCTGCCAAACAACTGGTTACCATCACCACCCGCGAGAAGAAGCAGTGAGTGGAGGATGGGAGAGGGGGGATGGGGGTGG